AAACCGGAAATTCTCAGATTATAAAGCCTGAATTCACTGTCTTTGCTAAACTATTTTCACTGTCTCCTCAGCTCTGGCTGGAGAAAGAATGACAACTGCAAAGGAAATGGTATCACAGCCCCAACATTTCAATGTTTCTTCTTTACAAATGGTAATTCAAGACGTTTTGACAAAACCAAAGTATCTCTCTTAACAATAACTCTGCCATTCAATGGCTCCTTGTGTTCTGTTCTCAATTCTCACATTGAACCATCATTTGAGTGCCTAAATATCCTCCAAGGATGCCATCAAATGCACAGCTGGCAGCTGGCATATAGGGTTTCTTTTGTGTTCCTCCTCCTAACAGAAATATCCATAGATTGTAAGTTTTGAAAGAGCAGATATACTCATTTCTCCATGAAATGTCATGTGCTTTTATTAACAAAGGCTTAAGAAATGCTACTCACCATAGAGGAATTTTCATGAGCAGAAAATCAGTTCCCTAAGTGGAATTTGGCCAAGACTGAATACAGTGTCCTGTCACACAGGTTCTAGATCTGTGGGTCCTTGGGAAAACGAAAGACAAGAGTCTGCAAATCTAAGACAAGGGCATGGCCCTAGCTCTTCAGTTTGATGGGTACAGGCCCACATAGCATAAACGAATGTATATCTATTGCAGAGGCTCCAGCCCATGATACTGAAACATTTGTCAGTTGATCAGTAAGCTTTTGAGATTAAAAGATGCAGAGGAACAAAAATATTAAGAAACCACCATACCTCCCACACATTCAGAGGATGAATCATTAAGAGGCCAATTCTGCAAAGTGCTCCACACTTCTCTGCAGCTCTGCACAGGAAAAATTAAGCAATGACGTAAACCAAGAAAAAGTACCCTTTGCAACTGTCCCACCACCAACTGCTAAGGAGCTATTCATTAAAAATCGCCTCTTTCTTTCCTCAGCCCACACATGGGGGTTCAGATGTCAGTAGCAGAACAAGTGATGTTCGAATTTAGCCCTGTCCACCTTTTGATGATTCTTCCCAGCAACTGAAGGATAGAAGTGGACAAATAACCGGGGAGATTACTGGCATCTGTTGTTGGCTTTTCAAGCACTAGCTGAACTTCGATGTATCCTAGAATGGCTGGTGTTTTTTCTGCTTTGGGAAAGGCAATCGTGATCAGGTCAGGCATGGGCCTAATTGCTTTGTACTAAATAAACTTGTGCTGTGCAAACCATTTAGACCATTTGTGGAACATGTGATGTGGAAATGATACCCTTATGCTATGGGAAGCAGGTGGAAAGCAAACCTGCATGTTTATTACTCACTGCTATTTGAGTTCTCATCAGCTTGGCATGCAAGAACAAGACTGCAGATGTCATCTACAGACATTCATTCATACTGAGATCTTTTAACACCACCTCTTAACCTTCAAGCTTATTTCATCTCAGTTCGAGGTTGAAGGGGTCAAGCATGAGACATGTATTTGTCTTCAGGAGCTGGAAACCTGAAATCGTTGATAACCCAAGTAGTAGATTTCTAGAGGACAGCAGTAAATAATGTCACAAATACTTAAAAGAGGACAAGCAAGGAATATTTTTAAATAGTTCTTTTTACAGGCCTCACACCAAACAAACTACCACTTATTTTCAAGTCAGAGCTGCAAGTTTCTGGAAATCATAGTCAATGGTTGTTCATCACTCTTAATAGATATCGGTGAAATGGGCAGTAATTTCATGGTTCACAGCATTTCACTTCCTCATGTCCAAATTTTGTTTTGCTTTTTTCTTTCCATTTTAAAAGTGGTCATTTATCTTCAGTAATACATTGATGTGGCGTGGGTTGGGGTTTTTTTTGTTTATTTGTTTGTTTAAAGTGTATGACATATTGTGTCCTATTTTAAAAAGTTTGACTAAAGAATTACGCAAAAGACACTAATAATTTAAATACTTGTTCAGCCATATGGAAATGTACAATCTGTTTTATGTTCTGTGGGTGTGCTGGTTTTGGCTGGGATGGAGTTAATTTTCTTCACAGTAGCTAGTATAGGGCTATGTTTTGGATTTGTGCTGGAAACAGCGTTGATAATCCAGGGATGTTTTCATTACTGCTGAGCAGTGCTGACACAGTCAAGGCCTTTTCTGCTTCTCACACCACCCCACCAGCGAGGACGCTGGGGGTGCACAAGAAGTTGGGAGGGGACACAGCCGGGACAGCTGACCCCAACTGGCCAAAGGGATATTCCACACCATGTGATGTCATGCTCAGCATATAAAGCTGGGGGAAGAAGAAGGAAGGGAGGGACATTCGGAGTGATGGCGTTTGTCTTCCCAAGTAACGGTTACGCGTGATGGAGCCCTGCTTTCCTGGAGATGGCCGAACACCTGCCTGCCGATAGGAAGGACGGAATGAATTCCTTGTTTTGCTTTACTTGCGTGCGTGGCTTTTGCTTTACCTATTAAACTGTCTTTATCTCAACCCACGAGTTTTCTCACTTTTACTCTTCCAATTCTCCCCCCCATCCCACCGGGGGGGGAGTGAGCGAGCAGCTGTGTGGGGCTCAGTTGCCAGCTGGTTAAACCACAACAGTGGGAAACCTACAGTTGCTATAAACTTAACGAATTTTAAAACCTCCCATCCGTTATTTAATACAACAATTTGCTAAAGTAATAATAACATTCATTCTGTTACAATTTCCCGTACTGGAGATACTTAGAGATGAGTCAAGGGTACAAAACTCTTTAAGTGATCAAAAATACTCTACAGTTCAGTAGGATGCAGCACTGGAGTTTAGTCCCGCTATCTCTGAAAATATTATCACTTCATCCTTACGCAAGGAAATGTCATTATAATATTACACAGAACAGAAAACATAACATAATAGTTGGGTTCATTAGTATTTTTTTCCATGTAATGCTTTATAAAAGAGATAAAGCTGAAGAAAATAAAACCACACATGTAAATATTATGATGAAGTACATTGTTCTTATTTAAATAAATTTCCTTGAGCAATATCTTCTTGAAAGGTGAAAATTAACCACTAACATTTGTCTCACTGTATAAAAGTGATGGTAGTAATTATAAAGAACCCGATGGTCTTATGATTATTTCATCCAATTCTTAAGTTTTCACAGCAAAAATATTAAAATTTGCAATATTACTAAAAAGATGCAAACCTGTCAAATATATTACTCTGAAGTAAATTAACAATTAATTTCTAGGAACCTACCATAGGACCTATTAAGTGGACAGTAGTAATGTTTTCTATATAAAATCTATCAAAAATTGTTGGAGAAAATATACGAAGCGTAGCTGATAGCTGATGAAATCTGCAATATGGCCACAGAGAAATAAGTTGCAGATCATCACATTTAGCTCTTGTGCAGAAACATCCACCATGAGTTCATTAATTTCACTTTTCACTGGAGAACAGCAGGAGGTTTCCATAATGCAACCATCATAGGAAACTGATTCAATGCTGTACTTTAAGCTTTACCCGTAGTTGGAACTTGCAACAGTTTAGATTTTTTGGTGCTCTGATCTCTCTTGCTCTCCGGAAGGCTACGCAAATATAAAAATCTTCAGCAGAAAGACAACTCTCTCTAAAGCACTGGCAAGTGGTCTTAGTAGAAGACTGTTCAAAAAAAGAAAGGAAAAAACAGACTTAGCTGGACCGGTAAAGCAACATTGGTAAAGCAATACAGTAACACTCTTGGACATAAACCAGCAAACTAGGTCATTGTTAGAAGCCGAGAGATTTGTGGTCTATGCCCTCCAGACACACACGCCCATAAACTCATGGAGCCCAGAGGAACCTTTGCAGATTTAAAGGTGCTCATCTGCCTAAGTGGTTTTTAGCCTGAGTCAACAGCCAAGCCCTGATCTTGCACCAATGAAGGCAAAGTGCACTTTCAACTAATTTGAATATCAAAAATGTCAAGTGATTGATTCTACCCAACCTCAGGTGTTTAACTAAAGCACCTAGACAAGGACCTAATTAACCCAGGCTCTGGTCATCAACCACAGATGGAAAGCCGCAACCTCAAGAAGGTGCTTCAGTCTTGCCCAGGTCAAGGGTGACAGTGTTCCTAGCTTAGACATCTCAGCCAAGTTACTGAAATTAGGTGTGATGACCAGCTGTTGGTCTCCCTGTATATAATCAGCGTGTGTGTGTTCTGCTCTACTGGGCCTACATCCAGCACCAGGACCCGCCAGAACTGTTTCTGGCTCTTCACCTAAATTAGGAAAGGGTTCTGCTTCCTATGGAGTGTGTTGGCAGCTTCCCTCCCTCTCCACTGGCTAGACACCAAAACTGTTCCCTTCTGAAAGTCGTCAATGTTTATTCAGTTCAAATTTTGAATGGAAGCTTAGCTTGTTTTATTTTTCTTCAGACATGAACTTGCGAAGGACTTTTTTTTTTTAGTTAATTAGTTAGCTGAAACTCTTAAGTCAGGAATAGAGCCTATAAATTTTCACTGTCCTACTCTGGCCGGTGGAGAACAAAGCCCCACAGATTATCCCATAGCAAGAGGAAAGCTCCAGTAATTTACTTAGTGGGTGCCTCACTTCGGTCCTCAAGGTCCTCCCCAAAATGGAGATGTTTTCTAACTGCAAATTACTTGTTCCTGGGAAAAGCTTTGTCTCTACAGACGCTGGTCTAGGCACTGCTGATGCACCTCACCTCTCACGGGAGGTCTTAGTACTGCTGCAGGATTAGCTGTGGTGCGGTTGAAGGTGAATACAAGGACATTTGATTTTTATTTATTCCCAAATGGGGTAATACAGAGTTTTCTTGCTTCTCACTTCTCACCAAGAAGGTGACTTTACCCTCTTTTTCTTTTACACCTGCACCACTGAGAACTAGCCCCTGGTCCAACCTTTAGAACAGTTATGCTGCAGCTGGAGAAGTAACGGCAATTCCCAGACCATCCAAGAGCAGCACAGGGAGCATTGCCACCTTGTTTCTGTTCAACAAATACATGCTAAGCACATAACATTAATTAAGACATACTGTACCTCCAGCTGTTTGGATCTTGATGTGTTTATTTCCTTCTAATCTTAATTAGAAAACAAAAGGTAAAGATGGTTAAAACATTGTAACATATCACTAATTTAGAACACCATTTAAAAAAAAACAAAAACCATGCAACAAAGGTACTACTTTTCCAAAACCAGCCACTACTACTACGGTTAATAGTGTTATTTTTCTTCATTTTTTTGTTTTGCAGCAAATTTTGGAAGCACCAGTCAGTGACTAAACTCCATGGTGTACATATGTGACAGCAGCATTTTGTGGTATTAAATCTAAACAATTATTACATGATTTCATAAATCTATGTTTTTGACTTGTCTATTAAGTACCTATAAACCTAATGCTTTTTCCCACTGTTCGAAAACATCACATGGAAAAGAAACAGTTTGCACTGAGTTTCATATAAGAACAGAAATAAACCCGAAAGCAAGCACTTACTAACTGTTATTACTGGAATTCACCACAATGCAAGTAAACACCTTCAAAACTAAAAATAGCACTGAGGGTCTGCAAGTGCATCTATCACAGCCTCTTAGTCCTAACAGGGTTTTGTTTTCTTTGAATTCGCAGAGCACTCAGAGCGTGGAGAAGCTGTTCAGAAGACAATGTACTACATTGTCAGCATCTGCTCTAGGATCCTTCTGCAAAAGTGTGTTAAAATTTAAATAAACGGGAACAATCACTTTAAGGATTATAAATATCCCCACTGCCTTAAGAGGCTCCAAGGCTAGCCAGTCTGTCTGAAATAATAATTGATTTTTAAAGGAACTACATCCTACTAGATAAAATTAAACTGAGAAAGCAGGAGAAATGCAATACGCAACCTTCCAATACCTTTCGGTGCAGCTTTCGTCTGACTGGAAACCACGGCGGCCGCGTCCGACGGCAGGCCAACATACACGCCACCATAGTTCCTGATTTAAAGAAACAATTAAAGAGACATCAGAGCTTAGTTGTAACACTCCTCCCTATAATGTCGACAGCACGCAGCAGCATTACAAAGACCATGGATGGTCAGAGAGGAGGGCACCTCTGCACAAGCATCCTCAGAGGAGCCCTCCTTTCCCATGGCTATGGGGAAAGTGCATATTAAGTGCCACGTGCTTGCTAATATGCTGCCAGGCAAAAAAAACCTTGAGGCCAGCGTCACTCTTAAGTGGGACCCAAGCCTGTGAAAGGAGCTATTTTTCACTCAAGTTCCTAATATTTTTCATTAAATCCCAACTGTGTTGTAACAATAAACCCCACTAGCCCAGCTTCTTCTAGACACCGAATATATCCAACTGAGGACAGAGCCAATCTGATAGTAACATTTGGCATTGGGACCACTGAAGCACCTCACTTCAAACAACGCACACCAATTAAACAGCACTTTGACCTCTCCTCGTTAATAAATAGGACCTGCATCACCCTGCTTAGGGCCACACTTGGAGAAAACTGTTAGTAGGAAGGAGCACGAGGGTGTTAGGTACTTTCATAGCCCAACCCTCTCTCCTTCATGGCCTCGCAGAGCATATTTTCTGGTTCTGAGGCCTGTATGAAAAGCAGGGACTGATGCAAGGAGGTGAAAAACTGGGTCCTTAAGAGCCTCTGCTGTGCCTGGAGCTACTTGCAGAGACTCCCATTATGCTGCTCTGCCCCGTTAGGTGCCAAATGAATCACACCTCCTCCAGTTCCTGGGGCTCCAAGTTGATTTCTGATTTGTTTGATGATAGAGTCACATCTCCTTTGATTTCCAGCCCAGCAGAGATCTCCCACAGGTGCTAATGCCATTTTCTGTGGCGGGGCTGGGGTGAAGGCAGAGGTCACTGGCCCTTATCGAGCACATCACCTACCGCTGTGAGATAATGTGCTCTTCTTGCCACAAAGTTCCCCCCCTCTCCAACTCACTAATCATCAATACTGGGCTCTGTGTGAGATTTCCTCCTCTCTTTTCTTTTTTTCTTCTTCTCTGCTTTGGTGGTGTTGGTGGGAATTAGGAGAAGGAAAGGAAGGATGTACATCTGGCGGCAGAACTCTCTGCAGCCTCTTGCAAATAAAGCCAGTCCTGGTAAAGCACCTACCTCCTTTTGTCATCATCTGATACAGATTCTTCTGCTCTATAACATCAAAAGATAGAAAGCACATTAGCAGATTGTTTCTTTCAGATACTCCATCACCATCTGGGTAGATTCAGGAGCAAGGGAAGAAGGGGATTAATACTGATACCAGTTTAATTCAGATCATCCACAATTCAATAAAGTATTCACACAGGCACAAAAAGAGTGACAATTTTCCAATCTAATGTACAGAAGAAAGAAAAGGATTGAGAATAGATGCAGCTTAGTTTTCATGACCCCCGCCAGCGATGCCTGAAAGTATGTTTGGGAGCTGAAATAGGTAAATTAACAGTTCTCCTGCGTGAGTCCCCACACTGCTCCAAATAGCAGTATGAAGACTCTGCATATAACAGGAATGACTCTGGTCTGCTATTCCACCAAAAGAGGACTGGAAGGGATTGGGCATCCATGCTGGCATGGGAATGAGGATGAAGAAAGATAAACTTTCACAGCAGCTGTGCCAAAAGATGTTACAGAACCTCTCCATAAAATGAGGTACTGCAATTCCTGAAGTCAGAGTTGTTTGCAAACCAAATAACTGTTACTAATCCTTTATAAATGGGCAATTACTTCTCTTTTACTTTTAAAATCACAGGTGAGTCTGTAGGTCGATAGGGATTCACTGCGGTTTGACTCCCCCCACTGCAATACTGTCCAGTGTAGCTGAACCAGGGCAGGGGGTAAAGTAATCAGCATCGACGTGAAGGCAAATGTAGCATAGAAAAGATAAAAATTTTATTCTTACTCCCTGAGGGTACAGTGCCTGTGCTGCAGTCTCAGTCTGTGCCCCAGTGTCAGTCTTCACACAAACCACTCACCCACCTTTGATTAAATATTTGGACTTTGAGCTCTGCTTGCATGGCTGGCTGTGGATCGGGGCAGCAGCTGCGTTTTAGCTTGGTCTGCAACCTAACAACCTAGCAATAAAAATAGAGGCAAGATAACTTGAGTGCTGTCAAGTCCACAGACATCCTTCACCCCTTCCCTACAGCTGGGGGCAACAGCGAGAACCGCCTGAGAAGGAGTCCTGCACCGTAGCTGCTCAGGGAGCCATGGGATACGGTCACAGCAGTGCCCAGGGAAGGCTGCCAACAGCGAAGGCGGCACCATGACCCAAGGAGGGCTCTGCTGTGGAAATGCTCATGCACAGGCTGTTCACCCAGATATTCTCACCTGAATATTCCCATTGAAGGACCAATTGCCTGGACTATGAGGGCAACATAAAGATACTCCCCATCGTGAGCTGATCCATGAATTTCTGATCTGCTCCCCAGGCAATAAAACTGAGAACTGGCCTTTACCCAGCATTAGGGCTAAATCCATTCTGTAGCCTTGAAAGGCATTTCTGAACTATGATATTTAACAATAATATATGACATTTCTTATTGTAATTTATTTATTCTAAGGGGTAGATGTGCCTACTGTTTAATCGTCAGGGCTGTATGCCACTACTGACCCCTGAAGTCAATGGCATTTTGGCCCAAAGTGCAGAGAGCTTGTAGCAAGATGCAGCCTTAAATGCAAGAAAATGCCTCTTAAACCTCAGTCAGCACTCTCCTGGGAGGGTAGCGAATGCCTTAAAAATACTGCTAGAAGTTGGAAATTATCTTACACTTACCTTCTTTCTAAGTGGCAGAACATTACAAATATTGTAATGTTTGTATCATTTTGATGTACTTTTTGCATCATCACAGTGAATAAGGGTACATGGGTCCTTTTAATAGTAGAGGTTTGGGGTAAATTTAAGTATGCTGCAGTTTTGCTAAATGATATTCACGCAAGGCATAGCACTGAGTGGGGTGAGCCTCCTTGTCTGCTGCCTTTGCCTACATCTTACCACTCAGGAGAGATGGAGCGATAAACTCCTCATTCTCTGGCGCTCCTGCCACTCCTCCCTGGAGGAGTTTCAGACGGCATCTCCTGTCTCCTCTGACCCCACGTAGCCTAAGCCACCTTGCAGTCCTCACACACGCAGCCGGAAAAATGCAGAGATAACTTTCCTTGAGGACTGTGAAGCTGCTCTGTCCTAGTGTGCACCAATTTCAGCTGAAGAAAGTGGAAAGCCTGTGTATGTCAGTGGTAGAAACGAGCCCTGTATTTTTAGCAAAAAAAATGACAACACTTTAAGAAAGGGACTTTGGGTGCCAAAAGATCACAAACAATCATTTCTGTTGAACCAACCGAATGTGTCACAGGATTGATTTTCTCATACAACTGGAAACATTTTTTATAATCCAGATTAACCATTATCCAGAGAAAAGAATCCTTTAAAAGCACTGGCAACTTCATGCGCAGTTCAAAGCCTCTAAAATGCAGTTGTAAGAATAATAATCAATATTGTGCAACAGGAAATTAATGTCAGTGTTTAAAAAAAAAAAGCCTCTACTAAGCAACAGGGCTATTTTCTTATGTTCTAGAAATGTTCTGTAACAGGGCATCACTGGACCATTACTGTCATTCTCTCAGCAAAACAAATTATCCAAGTCTATGATTAAGCACACTAGGTTTTTTTTAAACATTTTGCTTTCTTCCTTTCCTCTTAATAGCTACAAATCAAAGTCTAATTTTGCAATACCTTTTCCCTTAAACACACAATAGCAAATATAATCTGGGATTGTACAGGCCACAGCTCTTGCCTGGGTGATGACTGGGTGCAATCTGTTGTAGTCCTGCTAGGAAAAAGGAGGTGAGCAGAGACGGGAGGAACATGGAAGTGTGAGAGGGAAAAGAAAGAAAAATTCTGGTGGCAGCACTTAAGGAAGAAGCCATTTTCCACCCCTTTCTGGGGACTCCTTTCTAAGCAGCATGGGAAGGAGTGCTGTTCCAGTTTATGCATAAGCACATTCACACACCTCTCGCCTTCACACACTGTAGCTTAAGGCCCCATTTTGAAAGGTGTCCACTAATTTCACATGTTCAAATGTCCAGGTGCCAGCTGAGCCATTGCGGCAGGTGCTGCTTCTGCGCCCAGGCTGGGTGAACACAGGTGGCTCTGGGGAGCAGGGCTGCAATGGCCACACTGGACCACGTGGAAATGAGAATGGAAAGAAACTCCTTTGGTTTTGGCAGTGCTCCCATTGCCACATCTCCCAGACTCACAGAGAGGGTATGGGGATACAGGAGTCCAGCACATTCTTTGTCTCTCCTTCTCTACCTCTAATGTGTCTTTAGCTTCTTCTTATATCAGGGACGAAGGAAGAACCTAGCATAAAAAATATCTTTAAATACTTCCATTTACAGAGTCCTCCAGGAAAAGCAAGCTAGGATAAGCTTTTCTGCACCAGGAATAGAGGGCAAAAGGAACTTAGCAGTCTGATGTGCTTTGTACTGATCTGCTGCCGTGTTGCTGCACCTTCCCTCAGACGTTGTTGACATCTACGGCAGAGGATCAGAGAGCACGTTCTTCAGCAGGCAGCGTAGGTGAAGTCCTGTAGCTGGTAGGCAGATTTAACAGCAAATCCACATAATGGCATTCTATTTTCAGCTAGAATAAATGTTTCTTTTGGTAAGGATTTGTCTGTCCCAAGAGGCTTCCTGTCACCCTCCTAAGTCTGCAAAATATACTTGGTTCAACTGTCGGTTTTTACATCCATCAGTCCTATGTCCATTTGATGGTAAAAGAAGCTGCTATTTTTCACATAACATTTTAAAAATCACAAATGACAGGCATTCACATTAATTAATTCCATCCACATTTTTCTTACTTCAGCTTTTATGACTCCACGCCGAGCATTACACAGACTCTTGCTAGCCATGCTCAGTAGTCCCACCAGAAATGATTCACTAAACTTTGCACAAATGACAGACGACTACTCAGTTTCTCAGTGTTTCTTGGGAACAAGGGCCTGTCATTTGTAGTTGATGGATTTCTTCCCAATATTTTGAAACAGGCTTGAACTGCTGTGTCCTTTCCTTCCTACTGTTACTAATCTTCCTCTGAACTTAGCCACATTCTGAAGGTCACAGGCATTGCATTATTTTCTAGTATATACTTTACCCCTCCTGTATCTAAGCTTTTCCAGTTAGCAGTGATGTACTGCTCTTTATTAGCAGGGCAGGAGTGTTGGCTGAAGCTGGCCGACAGATTCACCGTTGATTTGAGGGCTGGAGTACACAGGGAGAGAGTACACATTCCCAGACCATACGTCCTTCTTGTCGCCACGCAGCCCTCAGTCTCGCAGCACTTTGCGTAGGAAGATCATATCATCATCACTGTCTTACTGGTGGAGAAACTCAAGGCCCAGAGGGCAAAGCAGCTTCCTTGCGGCCACCCGGGAGGGCTCAGAGCAGGATCCAGACCTCCCTCCTTCCACCCGGCTGCTCACTCTAGGAGATGCTGGTGCCTTGGCAATGAGTCGCAGTCAAGAAACGAGAAATCTCTTGAGTTAGAATAACCGTATTCTGTATCAAAAAGTACGATATAAGTGAGGACACACCTAAATGCTTTTCTGGACCAGAGTTGATACAACTGAAATTTAACAGCAAAAAAAATGTGGGCTTTTTTAAAGAGGATTTTTTTTTTTAATCTTTAGCTGATAAAAGTGAAAAGGTGTAAAATAAAAGCTTGTGTGGATCTATAACGTTAGTTAATATAAATCTGTTCATTTCCATGAAACTAAAATAGTTTTTCTGGTATTTTACTTCCTTTGTAAAAATCTGCTGTTGCATGTTAGGATGATTGATTTAGGACTTCGGGTCATCACTGCCATTCCTCATTAACAGATCTGTGTTTCTAATGTCTGACGAGAAGGCTCAACCATGCTATTACTCACACAGGTTGTTTGGCTGGCTCTGCTATCCTTATCTGAATGAGTAATGGTTCCAGGATTGATTCTTTCCCTTTGTTGAAGTCTGCAATAGTAATTAGTTTTTTCTAAGTTATCCCGATACTTATTTCAAACATGACAGATGATCTAACACTAACAAGTAGGATGTTCCCAGTTTAACTCCTAAAGCCTGGCCCTACAAATGCTTACACACACATAAACGCAGTTCTACATATACCTATACCTTTAAGCACAGAAACATGCCTACTAAATTCATAATTTAACAGTGCTTGCAGTTTTGAAATTTAAAACTACCAAAGAGCGAAGAGAGAGATGCAGTTCTAAGTCACTTAAATTATCTAAATTGAACAACAAAAAAGGCCCTAATATAAATTAAAAACAGTGGTTTTGTATATATCAAAGTGCTGAGGGCATGGATGCTGCAGGCTGTATCAAGAATAGGTTCCTCCTAAGCTTGCCTTCTCTAATTTATTTATTATCTGACACTGCAAACCCAGAAAACAGACTACACGGGTAACACAGAACTCAAGAGTATCTGTGACAACAGTGTTCATCTGCCAAGTGAGACCTGTCGTTAGTTCTCAGCCATGCTCTGTAATAGCAAGGACAAGCCTGTTGTTAAGCTCTTCTCTCCACTTGTTTATCTGACTTGACAGCCCTCGTCTCTGCACCAGGATTCCTCTGTCTAATTAGAGTAGTTATTCTAAATGAAGTAAATAAAACTGAAGAATGTTCCTATTGCATAACATGAAAATCTTTCCCAGGTCCCCCAGTCTCGAACTCTAGTGGCAAATACCAATTACATGAAATAGAAGAAGGCAAGACCTTGGGAGGACGTCTTTAATGTTTCCTTTGATAGGAAAATAAATTTATGGCTGAATAAAGCTGTTCCTGTACATTTCTACATCAGCAAATGAAAAATGGGCTGAGAAAGGCTGATCTTTTGCTGCTGCTTTTCTGAAAACCAGAAGTTGGCAAGGGGCAACAGGACAATAGAGGTTCAGACCTTCCACATTTAGAGAAAAACAGGATGGGTAGGGCTGCCCGCTGCTACTCAGCATCAAAGATAGGGGAGAGAAAGAGGAGCCGACAGATACTATCTTCAATGCGGAGAACATCTAGAGAAGGTGGGTACTTTGAAAAGGAAGTCTGGATGGGTTATGGGGTCTCCTGCAAAGAGGGAAAATTTGCCTCAGTGGCTCTTTAAATCTCTCTCAGGGCTTGGTGGAAATTTATGTGGTCGTTTCATACAATGACATGGCCTTTGGAAAAAGGTGTACTGGTACATGACAGGGAAGAGTAGTCTGAAGTAACATGACCACCTCTGGGAGACAACTCTCTCAACAGACACAGAGAAAAGACATTTCTGTTAGAGAAATAACAAGGGAAGGAATCTGTAGAAAAGTAAACAAGACATGAAGTTGTTTTGCGGAGATGGAAGCTGTCACTAAAGACAATAAACATCTGGTGGTGTTGATTATATGTTAGGAGCCAGATGAATCAAGTATGACTAAATCTAGTATAAGGCTAGTAGGACTAAAGATAAGTCCAGGGTTACATATTTGAAAGAGTAGAGTAAGTACTTACACATCTTTAGTAGTCCCTGTGGCACCTAGAATGAAAAAAAAAGTGCACGTTTACAAGATAACGGCATAATCCTCTAAACCAACCGATAGTACGGTAGGCATTTTTTGGCCTTTCTGTCCTAAACAAGGAGGAGAGCAACATAAGATAAAATTCATCTTTCTGAACTTTATATGCTTCACTTTGCTCAGTCTTCTGGTGGTTTTGTCTGCTACAAAGTCGCCGCAACTAACCAAGCAGTTACTCCTGAATGCCTGTTTATTTTGCGCACATGCCATTTGATTCAGTTGTAGGCTTGGCATTACATGTGTAAAACGCTGCTCCATTCTTCCTGCCAGATAAACAAAGTTTTATAAAATAACTAGACAGAACTAATATAAACATTGGGACACAATCCATCCAAAGCCCTGGACATCTAAAGAGGTCGACCACCCCTTAATTCATCTTGCTATTTAACAAAAAAGCAAAAAACCAAAAGCTACCACCTGGCTGCCTGATCTCAGTGATTGATTTTTTTTGGTGACTCAGATGCTTCTCGCTGGGAGAGGAACATTCACTCAAGTACAAACTCTTTCCTGTTCCTCCCAAGTTATTAAAGCCATGTTGCTATTGCTGGTATATCATTCAGCTGAGTAACCAGCAAATTATCCCTTCTACTAATTACACAAGCTAGGGTAGACATTAGAAAACCTTTCACTTCTCCTTTTCCTCTTCCTCTCAGTACTTAGCTAGAAGAGGTTATCTGAGCTCACTCTGAAGAAACTACAGTTGTCAATCCAAAAGATTTTATGGGTTTGGAGGTAGATTGGGGTTTTTTCAGCCATGGCACTTCATTTCTTGAAAAACTTTGGTTTTGCTGCTGCAAAATATCCATAAATAGCAAACCTCTTTTGTCTCACTCTGATGTGTAAGAATATGCCTTCTGCATCCTTATTTTAAATGCAGAGAGGAAGAAACAGTCCTGCAAGGCCTTTCAGCACTGTCTACCTGAATGGATGGCTTGGATGACAGGAAACATCTCCTCCCTTTACAGCTAACTCTTGACCATAATATCACTCCCAATTCCTATGACTTGACTATCCCTCCTTTTCCCAGCAACAACGTAGACTAGACTTGTTTAAGACTGTACACGTTTCTTTTGTTAGTATTGCTTCCAGAGCCAGCAAAATCTCAGTACATCTATCTGTATCAGCAGAAACTCTTAATTAAGCTGGAGGGAATATCTTTATGCACAATAACCTCAGGTCCTTGCTTTAAAACTTTATTCTACCAGGCAGCTTTCTGAGACTTTTTGGCTCTATAGGCACGTCTACATAGTACTACATATAAACCCTCCCAATTAATTGTGTCCAGGTGGAAGGTTGGGATTGCAGTGCTGCATGCAAGCTCGATCTCAGCCGCTGTAGGGAGACGTTTTCTGCTACCAAGGCTAGCTCTTCCAGAGTCAGCTCAGCTAAGTACCTTCAGGGCGCTACCCTGCATATCTAGACAGAGCCTAGGCATCAGCAACACCTCAGACAACATACGTTTTGAAAAGCCTAGCTCCACTGCTGTAGCTAGCAGGACTTTTTTTTTTTTCCAGAAGAAACTATTCCTGTGCTGTCCCTGTTCTGCACCAGAACCACGACTTTCTCATTTTCTCAACCTAAGCTCACTGCAAACAAACTCAGTTTCTCCAAAAAGGTTCATGGTCCTTTGTGAGGTCTTTGCTGAGCCTTTTCTGAGTCTGAGCTGAGGTCTCAGGGCTTTGAATCCTCATTTGAAAAACTAATGCCTTCCTTGCAGGAAGTATACCAAAAGTAAAAAATGTTTAATACACAAACTGAAACCTTAGCTGAGTGAGAACTTGTGCGCCTACAGTACCACTACATTTCCCAGTGGACATACTCAAGTTCCAGTCAATCACCAGGCATACTTCAATGCCATGCCCATGTTCAATGCCATACCTGTCTTCAATGTATTACAGTAAACCTACATTTGCACTCTGGGGACAGGAGCTGTCTCTCAGACCCATCAACTTGGGCTTCGTGTAGAGCTATGAACCTGTGTTGAGAACAGAGATGTGCCACTAGCATTCACACCTGGCAGCACTTGTTTCCTTTGAATATTAGAGAGGGTACCACTGCTGAAAAATCACTGCAGCATTTTGAAATGCACCTCACACAAAAACATCAAGAACTAAGTGTGATAAAAACAAATTCACTTTTTAAGAGATGATTTTTACTGTTTATAATAAATAAATACATATAATAAATAAACAAACAAATAGTTCTCTATTGTTTTTATAAGCACAAAGAACCAGGTTATCCTCGCTTCCATTGATGGGATTCCATTCATTTCAGTAGTGTCACTTCTCATTTTCACTAGCAAAAGTGAAACAAGAGTTTGGTCCAAATTCACTTGAGTACCACTGAAGTACCTGAATATACTACATTCTAAAAGTATTTCCAGTTCACAAAGAAGTTTTCTTCCTGGAAGAGTTCTGAGCTTGCGAATGAACATCACTCCAGCTAGGTGGCCCATAACTGTGTAAAAACCCATAACGTTTTCTTCATTAGGGAGCCTGAACACTCCTTATACAAGATTTTACTTCACAAGGAACCCAGTAACATCTCAGTTTGTACAGACATGTTTGTTTTTAAAGTCCAATCCATTCAGCCTCACCCCTATTACTTCACTGACATATTTTTCTAACTCTTCTGTGTTTAGTGAGCGACACATTATTTTATAGCTACTCAAGTTTCTCCTGCCAGAAGTTCAGCCAAAGAATCTCGTTTACTACCAACTCACAAACAGTGCATAGCTGTGCCACGGCAGCAAGGTGTAGTGCTCTCGTAGTCACGATGTTTTAGAAATATGACTTGAGAAAAGGTTCACATATTTGAAAGCTTGTCCATTTTTTCCCACTATATCAGCTTGTCCTAAAAAAAGGCAGCGCTTGACCCTACAAACTTAGTCTCAATAGGCTCATGTTGGTCTGGTTTTCCAAAACCTGTCTAACCTTAGCAACAGACTGAGGGGTAGCCAGGAAGCTGCATCCACAAAAAACAGGCAATACTGAGTTGTCCTGAATGACAACCATCTACACAGTAGGACCATGGGTCCATTTTGGCATTTTAGAGCTGCAGGAGGAGGAGGAGGAGCATAGCCTGCAGAATAAAGAAGGCACATTCAGACACACATCACTCTGAGCCCAAGTGATTACAGAAGGAAAACATTGTCTCAAGTAGTAGAGCTGTGATCCCTCAAAAAAACCCACAGCACTTAAAGAGTCACAAATGAAGGACAAAAATGTATCCCAAAGCATCTTCCATTCAGTGAGAGGGGGGTTTGCATTTTCAAAACAACAGTAGCTTGTTACTGGTGACCCTGCAGAATTTCAGTAATTGCAGGACAAATGCAAAAGATGGTTGAAAGAAATTGATAGGCACAGACGATATTCCTCTGTGCTGAGAAATGCATCATGAGTGAACATGGAAGACAAAAACTTCAGAAAAATATAAAAAGGATGAGAGGCAACCACTTACATGAATAAAAACATGGATACAAAAAATGCCAGTATCTGACTTTAGAGCAGATTATGAAACATTTTTCCATTAATTTTTAATTAGCATTTTCCTCCAATATTTTACTGCAAATACTTCAAATTGTTACAAAAAGCAAATAAAAACCTCAAAATTACACGTACATGCATGCAACAGTTAAGATTACAAATGAGTTTTCTATTGTAGGCTCCTTTCTGATTTGCTCCAAAAGACAGCAACATGGAACCAAATCCTAACATCAATGAATTTATTCTATTTATACCTCAGTGTAACCAAGGACATATAATTATATCAATTTAATTCAAATTGATTACTTCTTCAACTCATCAGGTTGGCAGCTTTGTACATAGACTTGACCTGATCAAACGTTAATTTTAAAAATTAGTTGGATTTTAAATAGAACGGCAGCATGGTTTCCTGGGCATTCCACCAAACTTCAAGTTAATAAATCTGTTTAAACTTGGTGTGAAAGTTCTCATCATAATTTGGCTGTATTTGAAGCTCTCCACAGACTAACAGCTTCTCTGTACATTTAAATTAAGGCTAGACTGCCAGCCTCCGCTGAGTACCATAATTTAAGGTGCTGTTATTGCTACTACCATTGATATAGAAAGGAGGAGGCAGTTAAAAATTGTTAGTGAAGCAACACCAGAATGAAGGGAAATGCCTTAACCCAGAAGAAAAAGTAAATTAGTGTTTAAGGGCATATTTTTAAAAGACCAAAAAAGAACTATTTTGGAGCTTCTAAAACACCAGGAAACAACATGAAAGAAGACTATGTAAAGCAAGCTAACAAAACATCGGGAAAATAGCAATTTGGTAATAAAACTTCCTATGGGTAATGGGAAATTTTAAAAATATAATCCATAGTTAACACGTAAAATAGCTGGGTGATTTAAGAAGGATGTGTATACATCAGTTTACTCGGATAACAGAAGTTCTCATTTCTCAACTGAGGAGCCTTTTGCCAGTGTCTGATGTCCTGGAAGGAAAATTTAAACTCTGTGAGTTATATGGATGTTCTGGAGTACCACACCACAGACAGAAATGTTATTCTAGATCACGTCTATTAGTTTAGATCTCACAGACCATAGAGCTGATAGCTCCTCTGATGTCATTCCAGCCGTGCAACAGAAGATAATATCATTAGCTGAACTATCATTACATATACGTCTGCTTAGGAAAAATCTAGTTAGTTAGGCAACAATAGAAATTTTACCAGAGTAAGAAAATAGGGACTAGCATAACACAACTAATGTATTCTGTGAAGTATGCTACAATATTATCCTTAGTCATATGACAGAGAGTGTTACAGGTTAATTATATGTTATGTACCTCTAGCTTTGACATTACTGACTGTAGAATAGTCATAACTTTAGCATTAAAGATGTAGTCATGCTGTGCAAGCCACAAAATTAATTTGTATTTACACAGTATTCACATCTTTTGGGAAAATATTGAGTTACACTTTCCTTAAGAGCTCTACAATTCCGACTAAAAGTGGTATGTCTTCTCCTTCCCCTACATAAAATAATTTTATTTTTATTAGACATACTTTGTAAGGAATGCTAAAAGGAAAAAAAAACAGTAGACATATTACTTCCTACTTTTATTACCAGTTGTTGGTTATTATAACACCATAGACTGCATAGAGTTATTCCTGACTGACAGTGGTGAAAGTGAGAAGACAACTGGACTTTTCAGAGCTGTATTTGTTTTGGAAAGGTCTATCAGGGCAACAGTAATAATTCATTATATTAATTATGTGTTTTACATGGAATTGTTGTTTTTTACCTGCACTAAGCCATTGGAGATCTGTGGACTATTTCTAAAGAGTATGCAAAAGACTGCCACAAAATGCAAGCTCAAATGTATTATGAATAACAGTACAGGTAAGTTAAACCACCGAAGGGGCCGTACCTTCAGTGAAAATAATTTGTGAATCTACAAGCCAAAACCTGTTGAAAATAGCTGCCTTTAATGCAACAGTGGACACATTTATTCAAACAAACAAACTTTTAGTTCAACATAATTCACTAAATACTACCCTGTCAGAGGCAGTCTATTTGACATTTACCCATTTGTGTCGTGGTACAAGTTCCACAGGGTGGCCAGATCAACATTAATCGAGACACTATTAAGGGACTAATAGCTACAAAGGGACTAATAATCAACTCAAAATTTTCCTCTGAACTTCTCTGATACTTGCTCTGGTGCTTTTACCCAGCAAACAGAAATGGGATGTGAACAAGCATCACCCCAGCAGTATGAAGCTACGTTGGTCATATACTGGAACAACTTCCAGTCCCAGCAATGCAGGAATCAACTAATGGGAAAGAATTAATGTGTGCAAACAGGACAGCTCTAATAAGAGTGCTAGAAGTTCAAGCAAATTCATACAGTGCATTCGTTACGGATGAGAGAGGCCTCTGATAGCTACACATGATACCTAAAACCTAATTTATAATCATTTAACAGAAATCAAGTAAGCAATAATGGCAGAAAAGCCCCCCCTTCCCCTATGAGCGTGAAGTGCCAGGTTTAGTGGGAAAACCAGCAACACACCACACAAACACATGCACATACATACAACTTGGAGAAGTCATCATCATTCATGCTCAAAGATATGCCCGGTTCTGCAAATCAGGACTAGCACCACCAGAGGCACCACTGAAGCTCTGGGTAAAGTAAGTCAAAGTGGTGAGAGATGGAGACCCACTGATTCCAACTGCTCCAACCACTATTTTGCTGTGTATTTCCAGGAGGTTATGAAGCTAACAAATGTATCTGAGAGACTTAATACAGGTACTGAAACAGGTGGCAATGTTTGCCAAGTGCAGTTAGTATGAAAAATGACTGAGAAATGCTCATATTTATAATTACGTGGTGAAGGATCACTTATCAATTTCCTTTTTTGCGGGGGCTGGGGGGAGGAAGAGCACAACAGCACCATCTTCCCAGATCTTACCTCTTTTGAAAATAACAATGAACAAATAAGGGAGCCAGCTGGACGCACCAGCCAGCGGTACACATTAACGTGCAAGAAACCTCAGCCTTGGAATATCCTCCAACTTCTCGGGCAAGCAGAGGAGAACAAGTGGCACAAATTCATTTCAGAAGTGGCATTCGTGGCCTTATAGGGAAGCAAAGAGGATGGAGCTTACACCCCCGGCGGGATCCTTACGTCCAGCTCCTGGCCTGGGCTCGCCGTGCCTAGGACGGCTACTGTTGGAGGCGGTGACCCTAACGGCAACCCGGGCACCAGAAAGCCTCCGGTGCCCCCCGGCGGGCCACATCACCCTCTCTCCCCTGGGCAAGTGGA